AAAACATCCCCAGTCCCAGGTTCCAGCTTCTGCCTGAGGCGCACGCCCTGGAGGCTCCCCTCCAGGGTGAAGCAGGGCCTGAGTGTGGTGGGGTCTGAGGCAGTTGAGGGGAAGGGCGCTCAGACCCCGGTTCCTCACAGTTTGGCTCCTCCCCCTCCGCAGGTGAGCCGAGAGCCCTCAGGAAGGGGAGGGGGGACCTTGTGCGGGGACCAGCAGCAGCCTTGGTTCCTCTTCTGACTCTGCTGCCTGGTCCCCCGTTAGAACCTCCCTTCCAGCTTCGGGGAAGGCGCAGAAACCCAGGGGTGACACGGGGATGGGGGGGCTAGTGAGACCGGGAGGCGCCCCTGTCTCTTCCTGCAGCAGGTCCCCCAGGCAGGAGCTGGGCCGGAAGTTAACCCAGGGAGAGGAGGGCAGCCCCCCGCCCCCAGCAGACACCCCGCGGAGCGGGAGCTAACAGAGGATGTCTCCCTCCGTCTCCCACCCATCTCTTTCTCCCCACCAGCTCCCAGATCAGGAGTGAGGGATGGCGTCCGGCCCCAGCCACTCACTCCCGGTGGCCCCGCAGCGGTCGCTCCTGCTTTAGGGAGGCAAGTCAGCGGCCTCCAACTCTTGGCCAGAACGAGTCTTAATCCTAGGAGTTCGTTCAGAGGGAATATTTGCTGATCACTCCAACCCCTTAAAACTGGGGGGATTGAAAGGATAGTTCTAGCTAAGGAGGGCGGGGGGAGCTGTCTGGTTCAAGTACGGGTCAGGGGCCGGGCCAGCGAGGCCTTCGCTCGGGTTTGCCTGTAACAATAAGAGCCACGACTTCAGAGCGGTCAGGGCCCGGTCCTGGGCACCCTGCACCGGCTGTCGCTCTCGCGGCTCTGGGGTGGGGTAGACGGCCCCTCTCCCCCGTTACAGGCAGGCAAGGAGCGAAGTGCCTTGTCCGCCGAGAAAGCGGTAAGGGAGCCGCGCGCGAAAGGAGCCCCGGCCCGCGAGTGACGGCGTGGCGCGTCCTGCGCTCCATTAGGCGGCGGAGCGCCGGGCGCGCATCGATCGCTGCTGGAGACGCAGCCGCTGCGCCCGCGCCCCCCGGCTGTCGGGAACCCGCGGCTCC